GAATAAGACACGAATCTTCTTTCGTTTATTTTCTGACTCGGTATACAATTCTTTGAAATGGATCTGTATGGAATGGAAATTAAGAAGCCAAATGATTGTTTAAGGTGCATTATGTAAATAACAGAAAACTCTATAAGCTAAACAGACTATGCATTGAAATAACGCTCAGTCTTTCTTCTTCTTGACTCTGCGCGGGAAGAGCCTCCCTTTCACCGCCCTTACGACCCGCGACAGAACGCAGAAGGCCACGTACGCGACGACGTGGAGCACCAGCAGCACGTCCAGCATGAGGAACTCGACCCACGAGAGCTTCGCCGCCGGGCTCCTCAGGCGGGGCGCTCCCTGGTGGCGAACCACGTACTCGGTCCAGAACACGGCGCGCTCCCTCGGCGTCTCCGGCTGGTCCCGCACCACGCTCATCACCTCCTCGGCGTTCCGGTTGTACCTGAATAAAAATCAGGCGGTCACATACGCCTGCTTTGAATTCTGAAACGCTGTACATGTTTCCTGGGCGACTAAGACCCGGTTCAGACGAGCGAATTTAGTGGCTCGACTGCTAGAAGCTGAGTGAATGTTCACACACATCCTATCTTAAGTGACAGATTTACCAATGGAATGTTCTTCACATTGTATCCAAAGTCACGAGAACATGAACCCAATTTCTTAAATTACATGAAAATGTCCATCAAATCAGGATGACAGGCTGGGGGAAGCGGAGGCTACTGTCGCCTGTCTGTCTGCCTCCGCTCCATGTAATGACCTCTCATTGGTCAAATCCCACCCACTCCAGCCAATGAGGTGCGCCATCACCATGAAAATGCAGTGGCTGTCGCCGTGTGTGTGCAGCCCCATAGCAACACATGTTCTTCTAGTGGCTGAGCAGTCGAGGGACTTTCTGAGGAAAATCTCTTAGTCGAGCCACAGGCTAGCCAAAGCCACTACATATGTGCTCTCCTATTCACATCCATTGACCTGGCAGTCGCGCTTCTAGCAGTCGTGCCATTAAAGTCGCTCGTCTGAACAGGGTCTAAGAGGACCCCTAATATTCCATCTACATATGCCGTGCAGACTTCCCTATCAACCACAACACACAACTGCTCTTACTTGGGGTTATTCATAACTTCCTGAATAGAGTTGACGATGAGATCGACGGAGAGTTCCTCCCACACCAGGGCGACGCCGACGCCACGCTTCTGGATTGCCATCGCGTTCTTAGGCTGGTCCGCGAAGACAGGCAGGGCGACGACGGGCGTTCCGTGGTACAGGGACTCTTGGGTGCTGAGAAGGCCTCCGTGGGAGATGAAAAGCCTTACGTTGGGATGTCCTGGGAAGGGAAACGATTTTCTGCTGTCTATAAATCTGTTTGTGTTGTCAACTGCACTGTGATTTTCAGATGAAACATGTTCACAATTAACTTTTATTATTGAAATCATATATTTTTTTCACAGAAACATGGGTAACCTGCAAATTCGGATCTGAAAAAATATCCGATGATGTCATGAAGTGTGTTCCTTTAGAAATTACCAACAAAAAACAGTCGTTGCATGCAGCAGCAGTGGCGAGAATTCTTGTATAAACAAATTGTTCAAGGCCGGATAGGTCCCTCTTTCATACCTAGGTCCTGCAGCTGCCTTCCTCAGTTGTGAAAATGTTGGAAAAAGAGGGTCATCTTGGCCATTAGTATTTCATAAAATTCTTAGGATATTCTAGCTTTGGATAACTATGAATCTGTATCATATATATATATATATATATATATTATATATATATATTTATACATATACATATATATGTATATATATATATACATATATATATATATATATATATATATATATATATATATATATTATATATATATATATATATATATGGCGCCCAAGCGCCATATTTATTCTTTTTGATGTTAGAAATGAATTTATGCTACGTTACCTAATATATCTTGTTGCGGAAGCCACTTCTGTATCAGCACGTTGTCCGAGACGCCCTCCAGTTCTTCCTCGTACTTCCAGATGACTCTCTGCTTCAGCCTCTTGAAGGCCTCCACAAACATGTCGCGATACACGACCGGCATGGTGGTACCTCGGACAACGGTTCCCAGGCTGAAGTACACGACGCCCTCTGGTCCTGCGCCGGAGATCCAGGCTTCTAGATTCTGTGGGTTTAGACGCTTAGTTTCATGTGCAGCCAATGTGTGGTGGTGGTGGGGTTGGGGGTTGAGGACGGGAAGCCATTTACTCCTTCCGTCGATAACCTATGTTCTTCCTATTAGTCGTATTAGCTAGGTCATTGCCCTAAAACCCACCTTCGGAAGGGGATTCGCGGGGCGGCAATGGATGGCGCCCACCGCCACCTGCGACGGCAGCAGAGGAAGAGCCACGTCTATCGAGAAGTGCGAGTTGATCAGCGTCAGGCTTTGGTTGCGCTCGATGTCCAGCAGCGGCGGAAGGTCCGGGAAGATGTCCGAGATCTGCAAGATTCAAGTGGACTTTGGCTGCATACCTTCTGCTAAAGGACCTTGCTTCTCTTCATTCGTCTTATGATATTCAGAACATAGTTTATGAATATATGACACATACCATGGAACTATAAATTTACTTACAAATTCATTAACATTGGAATACAAATCAATAGCAATAATCATCGATGCAATAATGATACAGATACTTATTATCATTGTGAAAATGATAGTAATACGATACAGTATTATCTGACCTCCTGTTGGATCTTCGGCACAAGAGACCAGTGCCTCAAGTAAAATGGTATCAGAATGTGCTGCATCAGGTTCAGGAAGCGGTGCTTCAAGCCGAGTGGGCTCGGGTACTCCTCCAGCATCCCAGACACGTAGGCCGGGTTCTGGACGTTGCCCAGCACGGCGCTGTGACACGCGTCCATCCCGAAGGCCGCTATGGTCATGTACGTTCGTTCGTGCACGAACGGGTAGACCATCTGAAACAGGGCTGGTCAATTTGAACATCACAGATGACACTGAATTACACTGACACATGACTACGGTAATACATGGCGCAAAAAATATATCCATATGTCCAGACAAGTAAGTTGTTTGAAATATGTGTATGTATACATATACATATACATACAGACATATATATATATATATATATATATATATATATATATATAATATATATATATATATATATATATATATATATATATATATATATATATGCATGCATACAAGCATCATTAAAAAATAAATAGACTGAACGATATATATATATATATATATATATATATATATATATATATATATATATATATATAATATGTGTGTGTTTTGATAAAACGCAGAACCAGATACTGCTACCTCATTCATCATAAGGTCTACAATAACGAGATCAAACGTCTTCCTCTTTTTGTACAGTTCAATCACTTCAGGGATTCTGTACAGCTTCTTGACCACAGCCGGATAGATATCCGACAAGAGAAGAAGTCTTGCAGTAGGATCGTCTCGGAATTCGAACATGTTATAGTTGTCATCGTGCAAGTCCCTGAGTCCGTGGTCGATCTCCGTGACGTTGGCGTTCTTGGAGGACGCAGGGTGGCTGGAGAGCATCATAACACCTGGGAGGAAGGACTGTTTTGTGGAATGAAATGACTCTAAATGTTTACACACACACACACACACATATGCACACACACATATATATTAACTGTCCAGCTTATGCTGCTTATGATTTCACTTCGTCTTTTGTCTTCTACTACCACGCCCCCTTTACGATCTTTTTCTTCCTTGTTTGCTTCCCCGTCATCAGCTGATTTTCAAGACAGAACCCAAACGGAATTCAAAGCCTGCACATATCAGACAAAAGAATACATGCGTGTTCACTGTGCACCGATACACCTACGACCGAGTAAAATCTTCTAGAAACCTAAAGAATGCAATAAAGCCAGATATCAGCAACCTCGAGTGTAGAAACGTGGAAGGAAAGGTGCGAGCCGGGACGCGTGGGTGGCTCGGGGAGATCGGGGTCGTCAGCGGGGACTGTTCGGGTCCAAGACGAAGCTATGGCCTTCGAGACCTTATGCGGTTGGTCGATGATTTTAAACGCACGCACAGACACACGCAAACGCACACACGCACACGCACACGCACACGCCACACGCACACACACACACGCACACGCACACACACACACACACACACACACACACACACACACACACACACACACACATACACATTCACATACACATACACACACACACACACACACACACATATGTGTATATATATATATTTATTTATTTTAATATTATATTATACATGTGTGTAGTGGCAAAAATTAAAGGATGGAAAGGAATTGGGAAGCATTCATTTAACCCATTGTATAAACAAGAAAAGTAGGAGAGGAAAATAAAAAGAAAGAAAGTAGAAAAATGCATACATGATATTAGTTCTTTTTACATTATATCTCATTAAAAATCTGTTTATAGGGCTGCATTATACAAGTGCCACATATACTTTACTCTCCCGCCAGCGTTGGCACTGTCGCAACCTGAGTGGCGGTGGAAGGCGATCGACAGGTTTCTGTACTGTTCAACCTACACAACGAATATTTATTTCATCATAAGCTCTGAACTAAGATATGATGCAATTCATTCAGGAATCATGAATTTGATAGCGCATTTGATATGTCAGGGAAGATTAATTTGTGAGTTTTCACATAAACGTGATCATCTAACAATGAGTTATCATTCTTACACATGAACATGTAAATAGTACTACTATTAACAATTAAAATGGCAATGAGAGGGAAATAAAGGATAAAATTGGCTTGTGAGAAGGATTAAAGGGGAAAAAGCAGACATTTCAAATACTGTGTATGCGTATATGCCTGCTTGTATATGTTAGAGATATTATGAATATGTGTGACCGTATTAAGGTGTAAGTGCATGCGAGTGAATGTGTTGTTGTAAGTCAACAATACTTAAACTTTTTATAATATAGTTTGTACGTTAGGAAACATTTAATTGGTATTTGAAGTGACAGCCTAGCTGAAAAAGTCAAAAATCAAATTTTGTTAGTAGCAATTAATGTCGAAGTTAGAACTTTTCATGGCGGCCGAACGCCATCGGTGGCGCTGGCGGCTCCTGGCGTTGGCTCGTTTTTAGAGTAGGGATTCGAGTCACTCGTGAGCGCCAGAACAATTTTTTTTTGAAGTACGGTCCACAGAGGCTTAAGGGACGGCCCATAAGCGATTTGGCGTCTGACACTGGACACAGGGCACCCGACCGAGAGCTGTTCTCTAATTCCATGACCTAGACTTACTCTCTCTTGAATTAGTGATTTGTGCAGGGATCGTGTGGCTAAATTAATGACTGGCCATTCCAAAAATATTTTTTGTTGCCAACGACAGTAAGCAGTTTCAATCCTTTTGTCACGAATGGAAAAGGAAACATGCACGCTCCAGAGTTTGCCCAGTGGAGTCTCAGTCCCCTGGCCCGCGCCCTCAAGAACACTCTCATCCTTGGGCACCCTCACCTTGTGCCCCCGCTCGCCCAGGGCGTCAGCAACGCTCGTGAAGAAGTTCTTGTGGCTCATCGATCCCAGAGGCAGCAGCATGAGGATCTTGTAAGGCCTCTCGAGGGGAGCCAGTTTCCCGAGGGCCACGCCCACCAGTGCCACCAGGAAAAGTGTAAGTGCCACCTTCATCTGTGAAGGAAAGATCCATTTTGCTGCTAATATAGGTATTACGAAGACTGTTAGTAAAGGAAAAGTAAAGATATATATGATCTGTCTGTGAAATGAAGAGGAGCGGAAGGTTAAATAAAAATGAGGGATATATATAGAAAGACTGAGTGATATATACGCATAGGAGTGCGCTGATGCTAGTAGAGGCTCCATGCACTGTTCTAAGGTATGCGAGAAAATCCGTATCATTTTAACCACACTTTCCTACGCATTAGTGTTGATAGAGTGATACTGTTGATTGCAACAACAAAAAATAATGATAATAAACATGAATGATAATCATGATGATGATGAAATATATGATTATCCTATTGGTGGCAGTTCTAATAATGAGGATCATCATTAGAATTGTTTGTGCACACACGCAGATATGTGTGTGTATATACAATATATATACACACATATATGCGTGTATATGTGTATGTATGTATGTATGTATGTGTGTGTGTGTGAGTGTGTGTGTGTGTGTGTGCGTGTGTGCGGGTGTGGTCACTTGTGTGTGTGTGTGTGTATACATGTCAAAGAATAGAAATATTTTCGTTGCATGCCACACGAAAAACACAACAAATGTCAGTAAATAATTACATTGACAAAACTGAACTGACATCGCGAGGGCACAATCATGTTTTTTTCCCGCTCGCCCGCTAGTTCGTTCACAAGATTAGATTTACAGAGACACGTATTGCAGAAACCAGACTGAAAATTGTACCTTTATTAGAAATCGCTGATCTTTCTCTGTCTCGTTATACACATGCGGGCTTGCATAATTTCTTCAGACACTCAAATTCCCGTTCATTAGTATCGTACTATAATGTATAATACCGTTCGAAAGAAAAGTGCACCATAGTACGTTAAGAAATGATAATAACCTTTTCTCTCTCGTCACAAGCAAGACCTCGACACACGTTTTCCTCGACACTGCAGGTTCCTCACTGGCGTCGGTCGCTCGTGCAGGTGAGAAGCCCCTGAGTTGCTGGAGCCAAGTTTCGCGATGAATTCCTTTGATATGAATTAGTACTTCTATTATTCATGATTATTGGACATAAATTTAATGTATGCAGTTTTTACTCATTCTCTCTCTTCCTCATATTCTTATTTCGTTTTTTGTATATTTGTTTTTTTTTTTCCGCGAACTTATCCTGTGAGAGTAACTCGTGTTGCTAGCAAAGACGCCCGAGAGAGCAACAGCGCGTCACATTACATCGTTTTTGCAACTTCGTGGCCTTGACTGAAAGCAAAAAAGCGCCGGTGGTGATCTACAGACTCCCCGTTTCCGCATGTCTTTCAAGTAATCTCATTCGAACTAACAAGCTCACGAAGACAACCACCTTTATTGACATTTCTTCCAATTACAATGATTATAAAAACAATTATAGTGTAAGCGAGGATGGGCACAACACAGTCTACGTAAGGGAAAATATTACATTTTCTGTAGGGCGTTGTGATAAATATGCAGCTTGGTATTTCATGATATACCACATTAGCGTCATATTGAACTGCACACACGCATATATGAATGTATCTATACATACATGCATACATATGTATATATGAACATATTTGTGTGTGTATCTACACACATGCGTGCATTTTATACACACACATATACACATACATACATACATATATATATATATATATATATATATATATATATATATATATATATATATATATATATATGCATATATACATGCATGTATATGAATGTGTATATGTAGATAGATAGACACACACATACACACACGCAC